AGACAACAAGGAAGTGACAAACAGAAATTAAAAATCAAACAAGAACAGCTCATTCAGTAGAACATAAATTAAAGTTAATTAGCGTAAACAGTTTATTACATGAACATAGGCCTAATTAGTGATTAAGACTACTGTGTGTGTGTGTACAACAGTCGCTTATATATGCTTCTATGATAATCTGATCTAAACACAATACTTTTATTTAGTGGTTTTTTTTTTTCATTTTGGAAGCTGAACAACAATAATTTAGGCCAAAAAATGACTACCGTATCCGAAAACGCCATTCCTCTACACCCAGGCCCAATGTCTGTTTTCAAAATGACCTACAGAGAATGAATGAAAATAAATGGGGAAAAAATAATGCCACCCTAGCTTAGCCTACTGCACTAAATTCTGATATTCATCGTATATGTTGAGTATTTATTGGCGGTCAATGTACTTTATTATGAATAGGACTACAAATAGTAGGCCTATTGTACACTTATTTTTGATATAGGCCTACCATAATATATTTTAAATGCAAGGTTATTCCCAACTATTATATCGGAACAAATTATAGACAATAAATCAATGGATAGAAAAAGCAATTTAAAGAATGAAATAATGATAATATGTTAGAGATCGTAATTCAGTAAATATCCCATAGCCCATTGAGTACAGGACCAGAGTCAAGTGTCTAACTTTTACTTTGATAGAACATAGAGTACGGTATGTCAAAACCACAGGCCCTCACTTCCAGCCGGCGATACAGTACACTGCAAGGAAGACGTTCCAAGTCCACTTGATACGCCGTGGCGTATCAACAATTGAAAACTACTTTTATACATTACCAGTGCGTTTTATAAATGAAATTAATCTCCCTGTAGTAAAATAACATAGTCATTTGGTTCATTCAAGCGTTTAAAAACGATTTCATGATTATACATTTTAAATTTAATTATTTTGAAAAATTATTATAAAATTAATAACCCATATGGAATGGTAGAGTCCATGGTTAATCAACGACGCAACAAAACATGTGCTTCGCTGTTTGAAAAGGGGTGAAAGCAATACATTGAACACAATCTTGAGAAAACACCACGGAGAGAACAATATTTTACAGTATACAATACAATACCTTTTTTTAAAGAGCCTGATAATCATATATAATAAATATATTCTTTTACACTACACTTCGAGATTAATCAACATTGAAATAGAATAGAGTCTAGGTTTGTGCCGCATCAAAACATGTGTTTCATCGGTAGAAAGGGGTGAGAGCAGTGCATGTAACTGCTAGCTTTAGAAAATTGTTTTTTCTCTTTTTGAAACGTTTCTCGTCACATACAATGGATATACTGTTCCACCAAAGTTCCAGAATAATCAATATTAAAATAGATAACATATATAGGCCTAGACAACTGCTCACATTTATATCAGATGAAGGTATTAATATGAAGTTCAATATTTTTTTTTTAATATTTCGCTAACACTGAAGGAAGTGTACCCTACGTTCATGATCGAATGTAGGCCTACTGTAGACCGATATCTGTCTGTCGGCTAGACAGTTTTATTTAATAATCTTAATTAATAATACTAAAACGATATAAGAAATGATAATTTTAAAGACTAACTGTAAAAAAGATATAATTAGGCTTAACAAAAATTCATAAAAATTGCCTGTTTTCGATTTTTAATTTTACTCCATAATTTTCCTGAGTAAGCCAAAGCCTAGGCCTATCCATGGAGGTATAATATCTATGTCCTAGGCCTCTCCTAGTTTTATATTTCTGCTGTCTGTTGGTTTTGATCGTAACGGTGACGATAATCTTGATAAATTATTAATCTAATTCTCAGAAATATAACATGAGCTTGCATTACTTCCAATAGGGTTTATTTTTATACAAGACGTTTTTGTTTGTGTTAATTGGGTTTTTACAATAAGCCTGTTATCAATTCCCCACTACGAAGTGGAGTAGCCCAGGAAAATAATCCCAACGCGTGGCCAACTGTGGGATTAAACCGCCTTTAATCGCATTGCGTGGTCCACTCGTATACGCGTTGCTTTATTTTGCGAGGCTCCCTTATTATTATTATTATTATTATTATTATTATTATTATTATTAATATTATTATACAGATACGCCTTCTTCCCAATGCATCATTGATCCTATTTTATATCAGATAAAATAAAATGACTATTGTATGATATATAAATGAATAACGATGATCGAATTGCAATTTTTTTGTTAAAAACTAATTTTCAGCAGTGGCCATTTTGAAATTCAAAATGAAGGCCCTAGAAGTGAATAAAAAAACTGGCACCAATTTTTTTCTTAATCAGTGAATTTTTTAGATATGTTAAGACACATTTACCAAATTGACAAAGTTAAAAAATATGACATAAGACAACAGACTATAAAGCCAACTGCACAATTTGTGGAAGTATGTGATGAAGCAATAAAAGCCGATTGGGCTGCCAATAGAAGCATCAGGAGTCTTGAGATGGGAAATGAGTTTGTGAGAAGGAAATTGCAATACTGTAAAAAACACTTGTATATTACTATGCTTCTCACTTCATCATCTCCTTACGTGATACCTTTAGTAATTCAATGTTCAACTAATACCCATTTCACACTGATGCTATTTTGCAAATATTAACAACTTGTAACAAGTTGTAACTAGGTTTGGATGAGTGTGAAAGCAAATCCTTGTAAAACTTTCCGAGATTTCACAGGGGTCCCCTGAGTTATCTCGGAACAAAAACAGACCATCGCGAGGCCTGTTTTTTCCCGAAATCTTCCGAGTTGTTGTTGCGCATGCGTCATGTCCATATTTTGACCTTTTCGCGGGCTGTGTTGTGTTTTTTTTTTTTAGTTCGAACGAATTGCGGCAGTGATGGAAAACGTATCAACATTACTACCATTTGTTAATAGGCCTAGACCTAAAATCAAAAGAAATCTCGCTAAATTTCACATGTCTGATGTGAGAAACAATCACGAGGCTTTGTAAAATATGCCGACAGCGAACCATTATGATGCTTGTCGCACTGATTGCCTCTAACAACAAAGGTGAGCTACCGGCCGGCGGCCCGACTGCGCCTAGCTTAGGCCTATCTTTCTCGCCAGCTCGACTACAGCAAGCGAGCTAGGAGTTGAATTCGTTTTACTCTCCGAAGGCTAAGGACCATGGAATAATTATAATCTTGTTAATTTGGTACCAGGCCTAGTTTAGTAGTTGATATGTAATTTGGACAACCTACAACTAGCCTAGGCCTACTACTAGTACTACCCTAGGCCTCTAGGCCTAGTCATTATTCTTCCGAGTTTTCCCGAGATTTCTCATGGTTTGAAAGTGCGTGTGTGAAACGAACCAAAAATCTTGGAATATCAAACTTGTTACAACTTGTTAATAATTTTTAAAAGTTGTAATATTTTCTGCTAGTGTGAAATGGGTATTAGTCCTAGCAATTCTTGAATAAACCTTTTTAAACCGAATTGATTTGAATATATCATAGATTATTTCATTATAATGTTTGTTTCTTAAGTATATTTTACAATACAAAGAGATAATCAAGTGTAAGTTAGTAAGGGGAAATGGCACAATTGATTTTTATGTGAGCCATTTGTACAGCATATCTTGTACTGTACTTAATAATCATATCCTTTGATGTTAAATGATACAGTAGTAAAGTAGTAGTAGTTACTTATTTTGGCATTTTTCAAATAATGTTTGTTTGGTATTAATTAACATTTCTTATTGAACGTCCATGCAACATAAATCATCTTATTCTCCAAATCCTGATTTCTGTTATTCAATAATTTTATCTTTTTTTTAGAGAAATAATCAATTGATCAATTGATTGAACATTTTTTTTTACAATGTTTCATTTCAAAATTTAAAATTCAATCAAATGCTTACATCAAGTTGCACACCAAAGATGTCTTTTTGCTGTTTACGTCTTGGAGCGATGCTGGGAGATGGTGCGGATGACGATGAGGCCTGCTGCTCCTCCTGGGTCATCCTAGATCCAACCGTTCATCTACAACCGAACAAGACACAGTAATTTATAAAAATTACATTTCTTGTAATATTTCATATTTTCATGCACCGCTTATTGTAATTGTTGTATGCTCTAAATAGTGACAACACATCCATACAGGGCACTGCTGAATAAAGTAAAGCTGGTTTAAGTAAAAGGACACAGACAAAGGAGCACAAACCACTTTGAGTATGTTTCTATTGATAAACACAAATAATCAATTTTTTTTTACCGCTTTTTTAATGAGAGTCAGTACCTATGTTGCTACTGAATTTTTGCTTTTACGAAAATCGGTTTTCGCGGCAGAAATTACATCACCATTTTGTTTATACAACACATTTTCCAAACTGTATACAGTAGTTTCTTTCTCACCAAAAAGACAATATACTTATATACTATACTATATTGTGTTGTTTCACGTAAATTTCGGTCATGATGGCTGTGCTGGTTGGCACAAGGAAAGAGGAAAACGGTAGGCTCAGAAGAAGAGCAGAGAGGCCTAGGCCCAATATGTCCCCCACAACATAACTATAAAACGAGTAATTTCGTCACTAAGCATGAATGTTGGCGTTTTAGCTTGTAGGCCTAAAGCCCAATTTACACGGAGCAATTCTTGCTAGCAATAAGACCGGTCAAATTGCTAGCAATGAAATTGCTCTGTGTAAATTGGGAAAATTGCTCTGAAACTGAGGTACATGATTGACAGTTTATTACCCAAGCAAGGCCTAAAAAAATTGAACAGGTGCAAACTTTTTCAGGAGAGTTTCTCTCCCAAGAGATCTACTCTGGAATTTTAATAGCTTTTCCATCAGTTTACTCAAATTTGAGAGTTAAAATCAGAGATAGATAGGTTTATTCTTATTTTTAAAAAATAACATATATATCCAGATGTTTACTTATATTGATCCAATTTTATTGTTCAGAATTTTTTCCTGTGTGACGATAACTATATGCAGCTATAGATTAATGAACTACTGCCATAAACCAACACTCTGATTTTCTTTTTCTAGAGTAAAATGCATTTACAGTATATAAAATTGGTACTTCTTAATATACTGTAATATAATAGGCATGTAGTGTAGATAATGGAACATCAAAAGTGCTTCGATTTTGACAAAATTTAGTATAACATGTCTTCTTTCTACAGAATACCAATGTATTATCATTATCCTATCATGACCAGGTCACACTCCAGAAACTTGCAAGCACTAATATTGCCCCGTGTAAATTGGAGTGCAAGGCAATTGGTTCCGTCAAAAGTTGACATAGTGATTGCCCATGCAAGCAGTATTGCTCTGTGTAAAACGGGCTTAAGACATGAACAAGAGGACTAATCATTTTGAAAGTTCGGGCGTGATACAATCGTGGTTCCACCTGGTGAAGGTCACATTTCACCTGATAATCACTTTTTGTGTTGCTGCTAAAAAGTGCACAGCCAAAATCGGTTATTTGACGTTAAAACACACTATCCATTGCGTATTATTAATCAATTTTTTAATCGCTTTTTTCGAACTGGTCCTAATTTTACTGCGAGCAAAAAAGCGATTTTTAATCAATTTTTTCTTCCAGTAGAAACAGGCCCTTAGACAATCAAAAGAAGAGCTTTAGCTATATGAAGTCATTAAGAACATGTGTTAACAAGATGCCCTTCACACTGGACATGGAATCAGTAGGTAGTATACAATATAATATCTTTATTTATCCCACATGAGGCAATTCAATAAAAGGATATGGATTACAAAGCTTAAAAAGGTAATTAAAATAGGCCATACTAAAGTGTCATGTTATTGTTAATAAACACACAAGTAGATATTGTGTGACTTCAATTTTAAAAACATTACTTCTGAATTACACATCAACATATGTTAGACATTCACAATATATTAATGTTGCCATACTCTATTTAAAAGGAAAAAAATTCTCTAGAAATCTACATTTCATGAAGACAGGATAAAATATACAATCATAGAAGATAAAAGCTTCCTTTTTGTAAAAATTTCTCAAAATTACATTTCAAGATACTGTACATATAATATTGCACTTCATCTCGGGAGGCAGTCCCAATCATCCAACACCTAAAATAAAGTAAAATATTCACATCACGGTCTCAAACTACACTTTTTTTTTATAAGGACACATTTCACAAGAGTACTGAGGCTGAAATTGCTTTAAATAAGTACAAAATAAGAAAAAATTGAGCCTGAGGTAAAATTTCAAATGCAATGTTTATTTTTAAAAATCTACAAAACCAACATAAAATTCTTTTTGTCTTATCTGTACCTTATGTGCAGTACACTAGGTGTGACTACGTAATACCCTCAATAAATACAGTACAGTAATATACCATTCTACCTTTGAAGAACAAAATATTTTGAACCCGAAATCCGCATAAAAAAATATGAGAACTGAGCCTGGGCAAAATTTTACTGGTTCTTGTAAAAAAGTGTATGTATTGTCCTTTCATTTAAAAAAAATACACAAATGTTAAACTGAATTGAAAAACTGAATCCCAATGCGACGGCTTGTTTTGCTATGCTTGGAGTATGCAATAATCATCAATGACATTCTAATCCTATGTGACAGTACAACATTCTATTATTATTTCACTTTAGAATCAACACATTGTACTATAATACAGTATTGTATCATCAGGTCTAAAATAAATATGGAAATCTAAATCTAAAAATAAACAATGAAAACATGCAATGATATCAACACTACTAATCTACAGTATCATATAATCAAAGACTAAGTATTACTAGACTGTAAAATCATACTTCATCTTTTTAAATACTCACTAGGCTTTCTGTACTGAGATACAACATATATACAAGATGTCTATATTAAATATTAATACAGGCAGAGAGAAGCAAAAAATCCTACTTGTCTGGTGGAATTGCAATTATTTGTGTATTGGTAACGAGGCTTAAACAAACCAGCCAAAATGCACTCAACCCTACCAGCTGACTGGATCAATGCCAACCACATATTGGTCCTTTTATGTCTCCATTGATTAGAAAATTCTATATGCTTTTTATTCGAAACACATGTAGTCTGTGCATCAAAATCTAAAGCATGTGTTTCCAGTTTGTTTCTAGATTTCTCAACTCTTATGTTTATAATTAAACATAGGTTAAAAAATGGGTTATAATTTTTTAATCTTTACATATAGTAAATAGTAATTCGTACTTAATGTATGGTCGAGAATTATATATTCTTAATATCAACCTAATAAATCTACATTATTAAGTATATCATTACATACAGTAATCATTTCTTGAATGCAGTGTTACTGTGGGTTGTTATGTGCAATGTATTGTGTTTCTAATTTTATCAATTAAAAAAATTAAAGTTTATTGTAATTTTAGAAATAATTCAAAATTATAAATAATTCAAATTATATATATATTTATATTTTCATATTTATCGTATTTTTATGTGATTCTTTTTATGTATTTTTAATGTTTTGTCCTTTCTTGTTGCAGTTTTGTATATAATATTTCAATATTTTTATATTTTTGTAAATAAATTAATTTCAGCCTTTGGCTGGCATTTGCACATTTCCAGTACTATACCTGAATAAATAATAATAGCCTATTGTCTGTCATGAGCTAAATGAATAAAAAAAATTTAAAATTTCATATGAATTGCTTAATTTGTATTCAGTAAGTTATTACAAATTAGAATAAGAAAAAAGAGAAAAAAATCCACTGATCAATTAATAGATGCGAGTTTAATAAAACATTCCTGTATAAATTGGCTGTAGTGAATCTAAAGATTTTTGTAATAAAGTACAGTTTTTTTTATAATAATCTAAATATCTTTATTTTACAACTGGTACTCATATACGAAGGTTGCAACCTTCTAAAAATGTGAATTATAAACAAAAAAATTGCTGCACAGCCCTCAAAATTAACGCCGGCATTCGGCAATTCCAACGTAAACGGCGGCGTCTAGCTGCCCAACGCCGACGAAAAAAACCACCGACGTGAAGGTTTTAGGCCTAGCCTAAGCTAACCCAGACCTATGCTGGTACTAGCAGTACCAGTGTTGGTAGACTCGGCAGGATCGTCGTGAACACAATATTAAACTTTATTCTTAATGAAAGCAAGTTATTTAATGTCTTTTATGTTGTATTATGAGTAAAATGTGAATAAAATCAAACTGGATTGTGTGTTTCATGCTTTTATATTGTGTTTACATGCATTTTTGGTCTGACATTTTTTTTCCAACACAACTCATTTTGCATGTAAACATTAGGTCGTGCCTACTAAACTCTGCTCGCTAATTGGTTAATTTGTTTCGTGGGGTCATGGATGGGCAAACATGTGCTTGGCTGTGATGACGTCAGATCGCCCAAAGTTTCATAGTGCGTGACAGCCTGCAGATAGGAACAAGCTCAGTGTAAATCGATTTATTTTTAATTAAGCAGATTTATTAAAAGAAATAAGAAACCCTCTTGTTTACAGTAAAATCTAAATAAATCTTAAAAATGTAAATTTCATTCTCTACAAATTTCCTCCGTAATTAGCAACATGCTTTTAAGGAATGAGTGAAGCAATGTATTTGTAATTTACATTGATGAATCTATTACGACATTCAACAAATCCGAATTAAACGTCTAATGAAAAAGAACCATTCGTCGTAGAAACTTTCTTTGAGTTCCGTCTTCATCTCAGTTTGATTGCAATCAATTTTTAAAGCATTTGGCCAGAAGGCGATAATGCACTTTATAAACAATGGAAGGCGTAACTTTCACTTTATCTAACATAACGTTTAGGCCTACTGGTGTCATTTTAATCAATAGATAATCTCTATGGCAATGATATTGGGACTGAGATAGCGGTACGACGGTTCATTCACAGGGTGTTGTGAGCTAGGCCTGTTAATTAACAGACAGCGATTCCATTATTTTCGTCTGGAAAAAGTGCATGTTCCGGACAGTTCCGGACCGAATAAAATGTTCGGAATAGGGAAATCTGGTTTTCGGAAAGTATTTTATTAAAGGAAGAATAGGAATGGTTTTGGGACGCGTGAAATTCTGCTTTCTGGGCATTCGGAATTCGGAGATTCCACTGTATGTTTTTTTTTTTTTTTTTTTTTTTTTTTTTTATTTTTTTGTATTTAATTTTATTCATCATCATAACATTAACACTGTTTTTAAACAAACTCTTAAAAGAGTTTATCAATAATTAGTTGTGAATTTGAACATTAGTATGTAGGCTAGGCTTTCCAGCTTGAATGGGTGACTTAAAAAGACATCCATCACTGCTATAACAGGTCAGCATGGGTTGATTTCAGGTGTGTAGCTGAAACTAAAAACTGCCGATGTTATAACCGGTGTCAATTTTATAGCGCCGGCAATTTTGATTTTTTTTTTTTGCCGACATATTTTTCCCAAATTTTGAGGGCTGGCTGCATATCCTATTTCATTAAATTATCAAAATATACTTTTTATATTTTTTTATAATAATTACAGCTGAGGCTGGCATCCTATAAAAATTATAATATAAATTAATTTCTTTCAATTATGTAGACTGTGAACCAGGGGTTTAGCCAGAAAAACGAAATAGGTTGTCCAAAATGGAAGCCAACGTCCACTCGGGGCCAGGCCCTCTCCCAAACGTAAAAAAGTTTAAATGTTGGGGTTTTTGGTCTTCAAAGGAATAGTGTTCAGTTCTATCACAAAGACATTTCAGATACATTGCACACAGCTACGGTTACTTGCATAATGACTCTAGGCTATGCAGGTGCATCTTCATCTCTCGCCTTATTCTAGTGTAAATTTTACTTTATGTCCTCTGAATTGAGAGATAGGCCTAGACCTACTTATTGTATTTTGTTGATTAATGAAATTGAACTTGTGACGTTAACAACAAATCTTCTTAATACTGTATTTCATGAATATAACCAGAAAGTTACGAACACCAATATTATGTCGGGGAACCGAACCTCAAGTATTGTATTTGCAGAGTAGCCATGTGCATGCATTGTGGGTGACTCAGAACTGTCCATTTTTCAGCGGGGCATAAATGTTTTTAATACGATGCATGTTGTAAGTGAACTTTGCACCGGGTAGGCAATTGTTATGCATACATTTTTGGGAATCAAAACCGAATATTGGTATGAAAACAACGTACATTCAATCAATAAAGGTTGTTTTTATCAAACGTAAATATGATTTAGCTTTAGTGCTTTTATGATTTATTTCCAAGCCAACAGCGAAAAATCACCACTTACCTGTAGAGGATGGACATAAAAAATATAGTATAAACTCTAAAAATACAGAAAAACAGTCAGGACAATCAAAAGTACATTCTTAACTAACAGCAACCCCACCAAGAATCAAGAAACAAAACACAGTTTAAGGGCAGCTAAAACCTAGATACTTTTTAACATGAGAGATCGGAAATGTTTAAAACTGTTAAAAAAGATATCAATGTTACTATTTTCAGAAACAATACGATTGTAAGAAGAAGGTAACCTAGAAATATAACAATCGATAGATTTGAAGAATGAAAAGAATTTGATAAAGGTAGACCAGGCCCAATTAGACTAGACCGAGCTGATTAGGCCAAGCTGTCACGGTAAAGTTGGCCGTCCTAAATAATTGTTGGCCATCCAAAAGACAGCCGGATAGCTCGCTGGTTAAGCCTACGCTGTGAACCACTGAGGTTCTTGACGGAAAAGTCAAGAGTGAAAAAGTCTGACATGGCGTTTCCCACTTAAACTCTCATCAAAAATATATTTCAAAAATGTGAAAACGCTATCGACATTAAAGGTCATAGCACCACTGAACATTAATTCTACCTTGTTGATTGATTGTTAAATTGGCATGATTTAAGTCAAAGCACTGAATTTTCCTAAAAATACAAACAAAACAAAAAAATAAGCACAACAAACAAAAACAAGTGTCTAATCTTAATCCCATAGGCAAAACAGTACTCAATTAAATATGCCAATATCTTGTTTTAACCATACTTAAAGAGGATACCTTAGAATAAACATCCTCCACACAATAGTTTATGTAGATCTCATTTCAAGCAAGTTTATGTAACTGCTCTTTATACAATAAACACATTTCAATTCTTTTAGTAAAAATAGTCTGTTATTCATAAACAAAACAATTAAATTTACATTTTTAATGTACTGGGTGTAATGAATTAATTTCAAATGAAAACATTGACATTCAAAGCTTTCACTAGAAATTTCACCATACACTGTAGATTAAGCAAATCAGAAATTGGTGCTTAAAGAAATGCCAAAATTATATGCATGAGTGAGCAAAGTCTTTAAGTTTATAAGTTGATGGAAGGATTCCAGGTTACAATATTAACATTATCTGCAATATTTATGATAAAAATAAAAAACAAAAAATCTATTCTGTCTGTAAACAAATTGAGACTGACAGTATTGACCATTATTCATTAAAAAAAAAACACAATAAAGTTTAAGACATCATCATAGTAAGTAACAATTACAATGATGTAGTAAACATCCTCCATGATAAATAAAGTAGTTATAATGTTAATGACATTAATAATATAAAAGCTCTCTGAAGGGATGGGAGCAGGGGCAGATCCAATAGGGGGCATGGGGAACATGCACTTTCCCACCCCATTTTGCCTCTAAATCTTAAAATTTCAAAGCAATATTGAAATTAGCGTTCTCACTTCCTGTATCGATTCTGAATATGTTGTGCCCCTCCTCCAGGGGTTTATTTAAGAGCCGGCGGCCGGCGCATTCGATCGGCTAATACAATGTTTTCGCCGGCTACTTCAATCAATGCTGTACAAAAATTATTACAAAAACCACTGTAAAGAACCTTATTTACCTACACAAAGTTAATTTGTAATAGTATGCACTCATTTCGATGTTCCTTTCTGTTGAAAGTTTGTTGAAATGTCTAC